TCTCTCTCTCTCTCTCTCTCTCTCTCTCTCTCTCTCTCTCTCTCTCTCTCTCTCTCTCTCTCTCTCTCTCTCTCTCTCTCTCTCTCCCCCCTCGCTCCCTTTCCTCTAAACCTAGACCTTAACCGTCCTCTCACCCCCTCCTCCCCATGGCATGTGACTAACCTCAACCTTCACCTGTCACATTGCCAGGGAACGAACGGTAAAGAACTTGGTCCTCACTTGGTGGAGAGCGAGGGCAAGGGGAGGGCAGTCGGTGCCTTGTGCCACCAAGAAGGAAGAGCACCAGACTGTGGTGAGCATCTGAGAAAGCGGAAAGGAGTGCTGTTTTTGTAACGAGGTCAGTTTGACTCAACCATCTTCCCCAACTGCATAACTAAGGTGAAGGCATGACTTGCTTGAGTGAAGGGAAAAATAACCAAAGGATCATCAAAGGCAAAGGAAACTTAGGCTTGTGGGAGGGGCGATGTGTTGACCCCAATGGGGATTGTACCTGGCTTTTGCTTTGTGTGGTCTTGCGTAGGTGAGTAGCCTAGGGTGGTCTGAGTGGGACTGCGTCCGCCGGGTGAGGGCGGGAATAGGGAAAGCGACGAGGGAAGGACTTAGACCTCGCTTAAACTATGGATGCAGGATGGGTTGGGTGGTCGGATGCTTGAATGAGTGGTAGACGCCTGGATGGGGCTTGTGTGATGATTGAATGCAATGGCTCTCTTGAATGCAATGCAAGCCCGGAAGGACTAAGGGCAGTCTTGGATAGGTGAATGCAATGTTGGTGGCTCAAGCAAAAAAAATATAGCGGCTAGGGGTCCGGGCGATGCCACCCCACCCCAAGGATGCCGTAGGGGCTGTCTTGAGCCACTAGACTTAGTGAAAAGGTGTGTGGCCCAATGGATGACGCTTGGCCTGCGCACGATAAGAAGACAAACCTTCAATAAACTCTCTGGACTGCTTGCGTATTGGAAGGAGCAATTGCCTGGCCAGATTTAATCGAATCAAGAAAACGCCACGAGTGACCAAAGAGCTACCATCTTGACGGGAGAGCGGAGCTACATCCCCCAATGTAAAGCCCTCTTGCAAAAGGTCCATCCCCATCCATCTCAAAGAACTAGGTGGGGATGCCCCTGGGACAAATGACCCGCGCCCTGAGCGTGAGCGTGGGCGGGTCGAGCCAAATGGGACCCGCAGTGGGGTCGACTTAGGCTCGAAAGTCCTTCAGGGTACGGCCCCTACAAACGTGGTGGAGATGTCGGGTATGGGTTAAACTAACCCTGACGATCTCGAGGGGGGCGCCCGACGCATGACCATGTACATAACTGAAGATAAGGAATATGGACGTGTGCATGTTTTATCCCTTTGAGTGAAGCAGATTTGAGGGCGGCTGGGCGCATGGCAAGGCAAGGCCTGGAGGTATAACATGCATGCTGCACACGCAATCAGCCATCTCCTTTGGAGGTGACTCTAGTCCTCCTTCTCTCGGGCTGATGTTCGTCAGACCGGGGAAGCCTTGGGCAAGCTGCAGGTCGACCCTTCCTCTTCGTGTGAAAGAAGGGCTCCGGTTACCTGGCAGGCGGTTGGGATTCCGGGCCAGTCCGGGTTCCAATGAAAATCCCGCGGCAGAGCGATCCGACCGACACGGGTGCCTTCTCCTCTTCTTCGGAGCCCAGCGGGCTCCATGCACTGCACTTAAATGTTTGAAGGAACAGCATATGAAAACAAGAGGTAATCGGGAAGGAACAATCCTGCCCTATGAACGGACACGCAAGTGTAGATAAGGGGAATGAAGGGAGTTGCTAGACTCCAAGAAAACTAGCTCACCTTTCAAGATGCTCACGAAAAGGAACCGGGCACTATGTATGGAAGTTAGGGGTGAGTGACACACACTGTCCTGAGTGAAAACCTGTGAGCAATGGGTAGGAAGCGTTGGGTGCACCAAGGGAAAGGCACTTGTACTATGTGTGTCCCACTTGGAACTTGTGTTTGCATGTTGGGGATATTGAGCGTCCTGCCTTTCGGAAGGAAAGGAGGGGTCTGCACCGGCCACTGCGGGTTGCCAAACGTCGTTCTCTTTTGCAGGCTGTCATTTGTTTGTATGTGGGGGTCAGGCCACCGAGCTGTCTAACGGGAGTTTGTCATGCCGGGTGCTTGGTAGCATCCTCGTCCGCGCGGTGACGGGCTTCGGCTCGATTGATCTGTCGGGCGGGGTGTGAAACGTTTCTTTAGGCGGGGCCTAGCCTGTGGACTGGCGGAGGGAGTACCGCTGCATGCGAGCAAAGACGGAGCCTCGGAGACGATTAGTAGCTCCTCGTAAGTTTGGTTTGGGGAAGGTTGTTCCTTGTTGGACCGATGGAAGTGAATGTCTGGACGGCTGGCTCCAATGGCCCTACCGAGATGTGCGGGGTGATTCCCGAGATTAACGGTGGGCAAACGAGCGGCAAGTCGGGATGGGGTATTCTGGGCAAGAAGGTGAGGGTGACCCCCCAGTGGAGTCTGGGTACCGCGCTCGCGACGGTTGAGTTGTGCTTGAGGTATGGGATAAAACTCTGCCGATAGTAACAGTGGAGAGACCATTCCTGGGAAAAAGGGTCGGTGAGGAGATGACCACCCTGTGTGCGATGTTTGCTTGAGTTTTCCTTTTGTGCCTCCCTCTGTAAAGTTGCCTGATGAATGTTGGATGGGGACTGAGCTTCTAAGTCTATTCTCACCTCCAAGTCTAAGTCCGCACGAGTGAGAGAACATGATGATAAAGGCTAGATAGGAGTCGGAAGGAAATGGAACCAAGAAAAAGGAATGCCGGCTGAGGGTGACTGATCGAGGGTATGATGGGGTAACGACATCTGGGACGTAGGTAGGAAATGCTGAGGAGACCCAGGGGAGGGGTCTGAAAATAATTCTCATGTAGGTGGGAGGCAATCTGACCATGAGGGGCCGTGTGGTGCTCTCATGTGGAAATAGGATAGGCGTCGGAAAAACAAAATGGCGCAATGGTTGTCGCCCCCTGTCTACTTTAGTGGTACGGAAATGCCCATAGATGTAAGGGAAGGGATATCTGTCGTCCTCCCGGAGGAAGGAACGTAGACGGACCTAGAGCCAGCTTATGAAACCGTGATGCTGGACGAGAAGGACGCGTTCCTCTGGATAGAGACAATCTGGACTAAGGTCAGCCTGACAAGACTTTCACCCAGCCTGATGGATCTAGAATTCCGGGGAACGATGGAAGCTCGAGGATTGGTCTACGTATCTCAGGAAATGGAAAATGCAATTGTAGTGGGACTAGTATTGGGCACGGCACCAGATCAGTTGTTTAAGCAAGCGGAACGGGAAGTGGTATGGGCGGCATGTCAGCGGGCAGAAATGGAGATAGAAAAGATGGAGGTGCGAGTGGAGGTGCGAGTGGAGGTGCGAGTGGAACTCGAAGACCGGAAAAATATGTGACGCCCCCTTAGGACGATGAGATGCGTGCTACCCCCGTTTCTGGTGGATGCAGTCTTTGGGACCAGGGATAGATTGGAACGGATGTGCCGGTCGATGACGCGCCTGAGGCTGTACCAATGTGCTACACAGAACTTCTTTAGGCTGTCGGTGGAAGCGGGGCCGTTTGAAGGAAACTGGGCGGAAGAATTAGCTGAGGTATTAAACCTCCTCGGCACGGACGAAATCTTTGTTCCCAGTCCGGTGCATTGGCAGATAGTTTACCGGAATATGGCGGCAGGGGAAACCTTCTTGGAGGGGGTGAAGGACCTGTTCTCAGACTAAGAAGGGGATTTCAGCGATGATGAGGAAGGGGACGAGATAGAGGACTGGGACTTCTGAAGGGGGGGCTTACTCGGGGAAAATAGGTGGTCGGTTATGTGCCGGTAGGGAATCGATGGCTCGAGAATTCCAACTGAGGGATTGCACGTCCGAAGGATGGGAACCAAGGCGGATTAAGGGGGGGGTAGAGATGCCCTTGCCTGCGGAATATGAATGGAGAGGAGCAACGTGTGACTGGGTCGGGCTTGAGATCGTACCTGAACTGTCATAGCTATGGATAGAACGTGTCTGGAACCCCATTAGGGAGGAAGATGGATGGGAAGACATTGCAGAAGGGAGAGTGGAGTCCGTAGGGACGGTCGTCTTGTCGGAGCAAGGGTGGCATCTGTTCTGTACCACGCTTGCGGCAGGACAAGACCCGATGTGGCTTTTGGAGGGAGCAGAAACGAGGACTCAGAAGGCGGGTGAGAGGTTTGCCAATAAGGGATGGGATTAAGTCCACAGCAAGGTCGTAATGGGGGGATGGAAAGAGTTTAGACCACCCTGCTCGCGAAAGAGGATCTGGGTCCCCGAGTTCATAGTGGACTGGTTTGGGGGTTTTGACCACGTTGCGGAAGTGGCCGACACTATGGGAAGGGTGCACATAGACTAGGAGCCTGGGAAGTCCTCATCATTTTGAATCTGGACAGGTACGATCAACTAGAAGTAGCCCCGGAAGTTAGGGATGCCATAATCCGTCGGGAGGTAGCAGCGACGCCCTGTTATGTGGATGATGTGTTTAAGTTGTTCGAGGTACTGTGGCTCGACTAGGAGCTGGGAAAACCGTAGGCCAGGCAAGTACGAGGGATTACTGAGATAGGGGAGTGGGATGTCTGGTCATTGTAGGTTTCATTGCGAACTGCGGAGTAAGGAGACCAAGGATAAGCGCGCGATGACGCGAAGGAGAACGTTTCTTGAAGATCGCCCCCTGGGCATTGAGCCACCCAGGGAAGTAGAGGGTGGGGTAGAAGTTAGCCTGCCGGCCGTGAACGAAGGATGGCACYCGGTGGCGGATTGGGTCGGGGTTGAGCTTATGGAAAATATGGTTTACCTGGTAACGAGGGTCAAGTGGCGCTCAGATGAGCGTGGGGAATGGAACCCGGACCCGCAGGGGCATGTGCGTGCGGAAGGGCGATTGTATGTGTCGGAGGACGGGTGGCGGGAGTTCGGAGTCCGGTTGGCATCAGAAAAGGATCCATTGAGTATGTTTGAAGGGGCATGGCAGTTAGTGTGGAGGGCAGGGTTTGAATTTGCGGATCCGGGATTTGATGACGTAACGGCAGACCTTAGGTTAGCTAGGGTCGAAAGTTTTGAATTGCCTAGCGAAAACATTTGGATGAGGTTGCCGCCTTTTCTGCTGGAAAGGCTAGGCGGACTGGAGCTTGTCAGACAGGCGGTTGCCGACCTCGCTAGTCTGACATACGAAGACGCGATGGTACACCGAGAATACTATCGGGCCTTCCTAGAAATAGGGCCGTTCAGCGGAGAGCAGAGGTATGAGGTATTGCGAATCTTGCGCGCGATGTTTACCACTAGGCCAAGGGCCCCAGTTGTTAGCAATGGGGTTCTGTGGGGCATTGTCCGACGGGAAATAAGTCGGGGGATGTACCGGTTATATGAGCCGACGGAAGTAGTAACAGGCCGGTAAAAGAGCCAAGGAAAGTGGGAAAGGTGATAGAAGAGGAAAGGAGGCATCAAGCCAAGGACCGAGGAATTGCCCAGGTAAGGGTCGGGGAATGGATGGAATAAGCAAACTCGCTTGCTGTTTAAACTGTGCAGGGGGCCGCTAAATCAAAATGGCGATGAGACGCGCCCGGATGTCGCGACGGCCCACGCACCCCCGACCCCCCATGGAAAGCGGAGACGGATGGGAGGTATCGCTCCCAGTAAGCTACAGGGTCCGAGGGATCGATACCGAATGGAGAGCAGTAACCTTGGGAAGGGACCACGCGTTCATGATGGTGGAATGTGTGTGGGATGGTATGAGAATTAACAGGGGACCAGCGGACGATCTGTATACTGACCTCAGGGTAACTGGAACCATATACCTACCAGAACTCGGGTGGCACATGTTAGGAACGGAACTGGCGGTAGGGCATGGGTTGTTACCAATCTTCCAGAGGGCTACTAGGGTACTGAACCGAGTAGGCCAGGAAGTGCGAGGGAGAAGGAATGTGGGACTGAGAACCCGGGTGGAGGTAGGAGGTTGGCGGGAATTTAAGGCCCCAATGACAGCGCTGAGGTGTCGAGTGCCTCGCTTCATGGTGGACCTAGTGTTCGGCAGCCTCGCAAGGGCAAGGGATCTGGTGGATTCGACCCTGGTCTGAATCCACCACTTCTGGCCACAGACGACAGGGATGTTTTACGATATGTCGGTCAGGCATGGGCCGTTCTGGGGTAATCAGGCCTGGGAATTACTTGACCTCATTGAAATTTTGATATTCGGGTTGCCTCGCCTGGCGTTTGAGGAATACGAACCAATAATCATTAGGGAAATAGAGATGGGAGAAAACTACCTTGCCGGGGTGGCTGACCTGTTCGAGGAACCGGACGAACAGGGCAGGCCTGAGGGACTAGCGTGAGAGGAGGCGCTAGGGGAAGACGCGAAAAATAAAGGATGGGTATTAAGATGAGAAAGTAGCCATCAGCAAGAGGGGGGGGGCACTGGTTGGAGTTCCGCCCTACCTGACGATGCGGCAGGAAGGAACTAGGAAGACCACTCGTGCCAGGAACGTCGGGGCATTTGGGTGTCAGAAAGCCGAAGGGCTATCCTCAAGGGGAAGGCCACTGGGCTCAGACACCGCCCTGAGAGCCGAGGCAGGGCGACGACAAAATGCCAGACCTCGGCGGCAAGTCCCCCGGCGGAAGAAAATCTAAATGCTGCCCTGTGAAAGAAAAGTCAGGAGTGTCGTCCCGACTTATGAAAGACGGAAAAAGGCATGAAAACAACAGGGTTTCAGGGCTGGAACTAGGGAAGCGATGGAAAACCGGCCATTTTTCGCAAAAAAAAATTCCCATGTGCAGGCTAGGTAAAGAAATGGCGTCACAAGAACAGGACGACAACCAGCAGAACAGAGGGAGTCAGGGTACGAATAGGGATGAGAAACAGAACGAGGGGTCAGATCAGGAATCAGCAAAGCCAGAAGAGACCAAAGAAGAAGGGAAGGGCCTCTCCACCGGGGAAAGTTCACGAAAAGTTGGGGGTAGCAAAAGGGGACCGCAGGAGAATAGGGAAGGGAGGGACGATGAAAAGGGGAGTCCTCGGAACTCCGGAGGAACCACGCCCAAGAAAGCGAAAGTCTCCAATGCACGCCGCAAATTGGCAGAAATAGAAAGGCGGACCGCAGAATATAAGGCAAGACTTATTGAACAAATGATGATCGGGAATGAAGAGGATCCCCAGGGGGAAGGATCGCGAGAGGGACGCAGGACCAGTCAGGGCGAAGCCAGGTACGGAGCAAAAGATAACAGCCATAAGGGAACACTCAGCAAGAAGGGGAAGGAAAAGGGGGAGTCCCCGGCTATAGAGGCAGAAAAGGCCACCACCCCGCCGGCTATCGATAGCGGCGCTAGTCGTCTGCCCGCCACATCCAAAGCAACGAAGGGATGCGATGGACCTTGGAGTCTCAGAGAGAGGGTGTTAGGCTGGTTTGATCCGGAGGGAACAATGAAAACCGGGGAAAAGCACAAGGAAGGCAGGGAAGGAGAGGGGAATAATGCGGTCGGTGAGGCGGGTAGCTCTGAAGGGGGACTTAAAAGGATAGTAGCCACCCTCACTCGGGCGCTGAATAAGAATCAGGGGTATCTCGCAGACGCAAAGAAGAAACTCACTTTCAATGGGGCAAACATCACGGAATTCCTGATAGATTACGAGAACCTGACAGCCTTACTAAAATGGACTGAGGAAGAAAAGATGGACCACCTAGGGCAGCACGTATCCTTGAGCTTAGGAAGGGACATTATGGCTATCGTCTCCTCTAGTGGATCCTGGAAGGAAACCCGGAATGAGATGATGAGAAAGTACCTGAAGGCGAAAAAAATGGCTACAGAGGCTGAATTGGCGGCAATCCAAAGGAGAAACTATGCAACTTACAATGACTTTCTGAGGGCGTTCACTCTAGTGGCACTACGAATCCCTGGGTAATGGATCGAATAATGAGCAAGTACTTCCTTAGGCAGTTCTCCGAGTTCGACAAAGATAAGATTCTGTCAGCTTACCAATAGACTAGCAAGTTCGAGTACACTAGGGATGTGGACTTCAGCACGGTAACAGACCTCTCAGAAAAGACAGTGGTGACCGATACGCTAGCCCTGCTTAAGGAAGGGGAGGTTATAGACTTGACTGGGAAGATAGGGGATAAGGTTAAGAAGGGGATAGAGAGCTTGCACGAACGAGTGCATGGGGTTGACAGCAAGATGGATAGAATGGAAAATGCGCTACTAGTAATGCAGGCGCAGGTGTCCCGACCCGCTCTCCCGCCCCAAGAGGCTGTAGTCCCGGCAGCCGTGGCAAACCGGGGGTATGGCAGAAGGGATCCGGCCAATGAGCAATGCAGGTAATGCACAATGGTCGGACATTTCGTGCGGACTTGCCCAAGACTCAACCATGATATCATGAGACAGAGATGAGCAGGTCCCTTAAGGGTGAGATTCTCGGACCCCAGGGAGAGCGCGTAAATTGGAATTCGCCAGGAGGAATGCGGCGTGCCGTCATCGTCCTCAATAACTTGGATATAGCCGCCGTAGAAGCAGAGCCGGTAGCCGATATTGTCTGGGACCAACCAAGGGGACGTGGGCCACAGGCCAATTTCATCCTAGAAGGCAATGGGCAGGACAGGGTAAACATCACCACCCGACGGGCCAGTGCGGAAAAGAAGCTTATTCGAGACACGGTAATGGAAGAGGTTGCTGGGACTGGCGCAGACCAGGAAGAGACTGAGACCGGGGAACAGGAGAAGGTCTACGGGAAGGTAAGGGAAGAGGAGCCGATAGACAAAGTTGCGGCGACAAAGAAGAAGTTCAGGTATCGAATTCCGATCCTAACCTCGCCCGAAATCGATGGCACCCTGAGTAAGATGCTGGGTACCATGGTATCAGTATCCTTCCAGACCATGCTGCAAGCCAGCCCAAGGCTGCTTAAAGGACTCAGGCAGTTGCTAACGCGCAAGCGCATAGAGGTAGAGAAGGCCCTGGAACCACAGGAGCAGGAAACAGAAGAGCCCGAGACGCCGCAAGGGGTCTCCAACCTCCAACGAATTCCCGGAGATCTTGAGGACCTGGAAAAGGCCTTTGCAGACATCCGCCTAAGCCTACCGGACCGAGAAGGGGGTGAAGTCATGAGGGGGTCGCCCGGGACGAAGCTTAGCTTCCATGCCTTGCCCGTAGGAAAGCTGAAGGTCCAAACCGGAACCCACCACACAAATGCATTAGTGGACGGCGGTGCGGAAATTACCCTCATACGACGGGATTTTGCAACAGTTACAAGCTGCATCGTAAACAAGGAAGTGATGGGGAGTATCCGGGGAGCTGGCGGGGAGAATCCCTTTGCAGGGTACGTTACGAAATCCGCAGTCAGGGCGGGGATCATGGAATCAATCTGGTCCTTCCAGCGGATGACCGTGATGAACGAAATGGACCATGACATAATTCTCGGAAGACCGTGGTGTGCCAATGTAGAGATGATAGGTATGCATCTGCACGATGGCACATACATGGTAGACATAGAGGACCCAGTGACCGGCCGCGGAGAACTCCTCCGACTACTTGGGACCGGAGGCGATCCGCCGAAAGGCAAATTGGCAACTTGGTCGCCGACATTCGCACGAATGGAAGGAATGAGGGAAAGGGTAGAAATCATGATTGAGGAAGCCTTTAGCAAGAAGGAGTGGATCAAGATAGGTCTACCTATGAAGAAGAGGAGGCAAGAGGACGAGGCCCTGGAAGTTATGGTGGCAGAAAAAGAGTCGAAAGTCGAACTTGGGGCCAACCTGCCCAAACTAAAGGAGGGTCGGAACGAAACACCAGAGGTGGTGCTTGAAATCCCACACTTGTTACAACTCGTTAAAGCCATTGGGTACCACAAGGTGGGGGTGGACCCCGCAGCGCTCGCTAAATTTGAAGACGGGGTCCGAAAGGGCTACTGTTTGAACGGGAAGCTGGTCAGCATCCAGCCCCGCGTCCTGGAGGTAGCAAGGCCGATTCCGACCGTTCATTTTTTAGGAGAACGATCCCCGAAGGCAGTGTGCGAAAGTACAAACCCGTAGGAAAGAAGGCTAGGCCGGTCTCGATCCTAGTGGAGACATCAAAGGAAGAGGCCTTGGAAAAAGAGGAGGAGGTCCTGCGGGTAATAAGGGAGAGGCGAGCAACGGAAGGGCATCGGATACCGGATGAGGTAGCAGAAACCATGAAAATAGGGGTAGATGGGTTCCTAACAGAGAACGAAACTCGGTTGATAAGGAGGACCTGCCAAGAGTTTAATTTAGCCTTTGCTTTCAATGATCACCAGAAAGGACAGTTAGATGCGAAATTAATCCTCCCTGTTAGGATCCACACGGTAGAGCATGAGTGTTGGAATGATCAAGGGTCTGCCTATGAGTTTGGGATAACGGCAGAGGTCACCGACCTGCTTAGAGCCAAGATAGATTCATTCGTGGCTGAACCCACCGCATCCCCTTACGCGAACAAATGGTTCGTTTTCCGGAAGCCCAACAAGACGCTCAGGTGAATCCAGGATTTGCAGAAGCTTAATGCAGTAACAATTAGGGACGCGGGCTCGCTCCCACAGGCGGACTTGCTGGCCGAATTGCATGTTGGACGAAGTATTTACTCCCTGATAGACCTATACTCAGGATATGACCAATTGCCGCTCGACGTGAGGGATAGGCCGTATACCGCCATGCACACACCAGTAGGGCAGCTGCAGATGCAAGTGACTCCTATGGGTTTCACGAATGCGGTGGCGGAGGCGCAGAGGAGAATGCTGGCTGTAGCAGGAGATATGTTCACAGAGAAATACGAGCCATATATAGACGATAACCCCATAAAGGGCGCGCAAAACAAGGATGAGACAGAGGTTGAGTCGGGCGTGCGAAAGTTTGTCTGGGATCACCTGCAGGATATCAAGAACCTCTTACAGCGGTTCCTAGTTTATAATATTACCGCAAGTGGACCAAAGAGCATCCTGGCTGTTCCGGAGGTAACCATATTGGGGTTTCGCTGTGGGGCTTACGGGAGACGACCCGACCCGGCAAAAACAGATAAGATCTCTCAATGGTCGACACCCCTGCGCACCACGACGGAAGTACGAGCCTTCCTAGGGGTGGTCGGGTTCTAGAGGATCTTCATCAAAGGATTCGCGAAGATAGCAGAGCCTATCCGCGGAATGATTAGAGAAGGTGGTACTATGGAATGGACCGAGGATAGAGAAGCGGCAGCCCAGACCCTTAAAGACATCGTGTCTTCCGATCAGGTCACCCTAGCAGCACCCTGTTTCAACGATGAGGTAGGACGGCCCTTCATCTTAGAAACATATGGGGGACCACTGGCAGTTGGAGGAGTGCTGATACAGAAAAGCGAGGAAGGCAAGGAAAGGCCAATTAAATTTGAAAGTAGAACCTTGAATTCGGCAGAACGGCGCTACTCACAGTTCAAGAAAGAAGTCTTAGCGATCCTACATTGCCTTAAGACCTTTCAGGCATACCTGTTCGGAAGGCGGTTTATCCTGAGGATCGATCCAACCAACGTTGCCGGGGCACTAAAAAACTATAAGCCTATAGATCCGACAGTCGGCAGATGGATAGGCCTCATATGGCAATTCGACTACAAGGTCGAACGAATTGCGGGACTTCGAAACAGGGCAGACGGGTTGAGTAGGGTGTGTATCACGCCGGAAGGGATAGAAGACGCGGAGCCAATTGACGCTTTCCTGGAATACGAAGGAGGGACCCTTGTCGTGGACAATGAGATGGCGGACACCGTGTCGACAACGGGTCAACTGTTGATCCAGACTTTGGAAAAGGGCGCACCTGCGGTAGTTGCGGAACTCAGGRAAGGACCAGTCACCACGATTAGACGCAAGCATGAGAAGGATTCGTGGGGAGCAATGATGGGGCCAAAGGAACAGCTGATGGCAATGGTTGTCGAAGGGGGTCGGGAGGCTGTGATGAATTTGGTAGAAACTTGGACGCAAAGAGAGCGGCAATATCTAGTGAACCAGGCTCAGGAGGAGTAAGACACCGACCAGAGGGAGCGAGAATTTTTTCTTATCCAGATGTATGAGGGCATCTTTCGAGAAATTGGTCTGTTGCTTATAGGAAATAAGCAGCCTGTGGAAGTCAGTCCCAAGGCAAAGGAGGAAGCCGAAAAGTATGTTCTGAGGCCCGGTCACCTGTTCAAAAAAGAAGAAGGAATGATGCCTAGGCGTGTCGTATGCGGAAGGTCTAGGTTGGTGGACATAATCCAGGCAATGCACGATGGGCTAGCCGGAGGACACCGGTCGTCCAAAGGGACACAGGCAAAAATCGCACCACTCTACTACTGGCCAGGTATGGCAAGTATGGTGGCAACGTACTGCCAGACATGCCTGATATGCCAGGAAAGGAGTACCGCACGTGTCTTCGAGCCCCTTAGACCTACCCGGGTACTAGGGCCGGGGCACTTAGTCCACCTCGACCTTGCGGTCATGCCGGTGTCAACAGATGGATATAGGTACATCCTGGATGCAAGGGATAACCTCAGTGGCTACGTAGAGGCGGTAGCACTCAAGAGAAAGACAGGGAAGGGAGTGGCCGATTGGATAGAAGACTTCTATCTTAGGCACCCCTTTGTGCGTAGGTTCATAGCGGGCAATGGAACGGAGTTCGTCAACCAGGAGGTGTTGGGCAGGCTTAAGGCACTATGCGTACCTATCAAGATCATCGAGCCATATCACCCTGAGGCCAATGCACCAATAGAAAGGGGACACCGGGCATTGAAGAACACAATTGCCAAGTTGGCAGTGGATGACTTGGGAAACTGACCTCGATACCTTAAGCAGGCAGTCTTCTCGGAGAACATGACGCCGAAAAGGACTACGGGATGCATCCCGACAGAACTCTGGTATGGGAGGGAGATCGATTTCCCGGTGGAAGCCCTGGTTCCTACCTGGAACAGGCTAAATGACAATCCGCACATGTCTACGAATGAACTAGTTGCCGCGCGTTGCCAACAGGTCGTGAGAAATGAGGAAGCCTTGGAGGAGGTGGTCAGTCGGGTAATAAATAGTCGAATGAGGGACAAAGCCAGGTGGGATCAGGTATCCGGAAGGAGCCGCTTCAAGTGGGAGAAAAGGTAATAGTCAGGAACTCGACACTTGAAAGCACATGGTCTGGGCAGTTGGAAAAAAGGTTCAAAGGCCCGTACAGGATCGCAAAGCGGGTGGGACTGAACACTTTCGAACTTGAGGACCTTGATGGTACTAATATAAGAGGGTCATTTTTGGGACAGAGGATGGTCAGGTTTTTGAGCAGGGATCCTGTGGAGCAATGGTTACAAGAGGCGCAGGATACGGAAACAGGGGAATTGACAACTTGAAAAGCAGGCAGCTGGCTATGAGTCTATACCGCCTTCCTGCGGAAGTAATCATGACTGCAGGGGTTGTCCGTTTGTGTCGTTTTTCCTGTGGAACATGGGGAGACTGCCTGGGCTGACTGTGATTGGGCTTGGAAGCACGGGATAGTGTATTATAGTGTTTGTGGGGTAACTCTGGGGACTGTCTACACGAGGTATCTATGTGCCGAAAAATGTATCATAGTTTTTGTGGGGTGATGTGGACTGCCTACATGGGGCACCCATGTGCTGGGACAATGTGTCAAGGGTTCCAAGGGATAATGGGACTACCAACTATATGGGGGCAAGCAAGAGTTCTAGGGAAGCCTCCAAAGCTGCAAATGGGAGTGAGCGGGGGGAATGTGTGCGTATGAGGGGAGGCGGTGACTGTTATGTATGAACAGGACCAGGAAAAAAAAAGAAAAGCAAGAAAAGACAAAAATGGAGTTTGGAAATGAGAATGACAACAACGCAATCAACAGGCCGAACGAGCAGCAACCAACAAGACAGGCCGGGGAATCAAGTTCCAGGAAGAGGAAGCTGTATATGGGATTCGATCACAATCTGGTTGTAAATAGAGGTGGGAGAAAGCAAGGGACCAGGAGACCGTCGCCCCTGAGGGAGGGGGAACCAATAGTCCTTCCATCAGACAATGACACTAGTAGTGAGGAAGAGGGGAACCTAGGGAAAAGGCCGAGGTTGGAGGAGGAGGAGTCCATCGAGGTCATAGACCTCAGCAGCGAGGAGGAGGAGGACGAAGTGACAACACCCACAAGGGAAGTACGGGGGAGAGAGGAGGACTCCGGGGAAGAAAAGGACAAATGGATAAGAGAATTTGGGCCGTCTTTTACCGGCTGGTTCGACCAATGGGCTAGCATCCTGCGATATGAATGGGCAATGAAAGGCACACAAAAGTTGAGCAAGGGGGAGGACATATTCCCAACGACGTTCTTTACGGAGGACGAGCTTCTTGGCCTACAGAGGTCAAAGAGACTAATGCAACAAGAGATTGAGGCTCGTGCGAGGGAGGCTCGACGCAGGGCAGCTGGGCAGTAAAGGGATAATAGGCAAAATGAGGATTAGCTAGGAATTGGGGGAGGATTGGTACCTGGGAAGGTGGAACTGCCATTTTGAATTTTGCATCTGAAGTCTTTTTTGAGTAGACTACGATGGGACAACTTTCTAAACCTCAGATGGCCAAGGACTGGGTAACGAGTACTACTTTGCACAAGTTTTGGTTTCTTCAGAAAAGGGCACGAGGGTCATTGCACTTAGTGAATAGGACTGTGAATGGCTGGGGTTGTCAAGGGGTGAATAGAGGGATCTAGATGAGGCGAGTCTGTAATGTTGCCTTTGCATTCGGATTTTGTCTCCTTGTTTTTGGAAGGACTGCGACGTAACTGTTCTTTGGACTGCGGATGCTACTAGGGACGGGTGACCAGTGCTACTTTGTATAAGTACTCGCTCCTTTCGGGAAGTCTGAGTTTTTTTTGATAGTAACAAAGGGACTAAGGATGATTGACTCTGAACGAGGGCAAGGGCATGTGAACTATTGAAGGGTGGAACATAAGTTGAGGACCGGAATTTCCCTTTTTTTTTTAATTGTGTATCCATGATTGAATGAGTTGTTGCATGAATCCTTGTGAGAGGTTAGGGGACCTATGGGCAAAGAGGCATCCTCTTCCCTAGGAGCCTAATCCAACCTATCCCAGACAAGTCCAGAGCATTGAGAGGATATCAGAGGTCAGAAAAGTAGGAGCGAAACATTGAAATAATTAGCATCCCTTGTAATGGTTGAACGCTCGGGCGGGCTAGTGCTGCTTGGGGCCGTGAGCCTCAAAAAGAGCATTAGATGCTAAGTCGGGTGTATGTGTGGGCATGAAAAGGATGATTGGCATAAAGCAAAGAGGAAGAAGCATGCGTAAAAACCCAAGAGGATGGCCGCCTTCTAACCCTCGAGACGAGATAGGATCCATGTCCTCGAGGCCCACCCCCTCGGGCGCCAACATTGCAATGGACAAGAATGACCTTAACCAGGCTGTCCAATTGGAATGGACAAGGATGACCCTAACCAGGCTGCCCAGTTGAAATGGATAAGGATGGTCCTAACCAGGCTGTCCGATTGCAATGGATAAGAATGACCCTAACCAGGCTGTTTGACTTGGAATTGGAAAGAACGACCCTAACCAGGTTGTTCGGAATGGCCCCTGACAAGGGTCATTCTTTGGAATTGGCATTGGGGTCCCCTTGCATGGCTGCTTGAGATGCATGACATTGGGTAGAGCAGAGCTTTGGAAAGAATATTGGAAGAGTTGAGCTTTGGAAAAGACATTGGGAAGAGCTGAGCCTCGAAAAAGATATTGGACTCAGCCTTGGAAAAAATATTGGATTCAGCCCTGGAAAAGATATTGGACTCAGCCTTGGAAGAGATATTGCATTGAGCAATGGACTGAGATTGAGCATGGGAATGAGATTGAACATTGGAATTGGGTTGAGTTTTGAAAATTGCACTGCATAAACAGGGGACCCTAGGCAACTTGAAATGGACTTGGAAAGAGCATTGAAATGAAATTTCTCCTTTCTTCTAGTCTTTGGCCTCAGCAAGAGGGGGATACCGGTGCACGCACCGCGACCTCAAGACCTCTATCCCTTTGAGGGAAAAAGTCTCAGCGCGACCTGCTCCTCCTTTAAAAGGATGAGGGTTAAAGGACTAAGGCACCTACCGCTTGGATCGGTGCGGGACGTCCGGAACCACCTCCGACAATGAGCTCTAGTCGGGGAGTTCAAACTGCGCCTCCTGTTCAACGCCTAAACGTCAAAGGGCGAGAGAGCCAAATGGGCGAGAGAGCCATTCTCATCTAGTCTATTTTGCCATTCTCCAACCACAAGCCATGTCATAGAGGGGTGCCATGGCCGTTTGGGTCGGACCACGACTACCCGCGCTAAATTGGGTGGCACTGTCCAAGGGGAGAGGCCGGGCGAAGGTACCGGGTGGAGTCCATCACCACCACGGGGCATTGACACTGCCCTGCCAGAACATTACAACCGTTTCGGGACTAATTGCGAGGTCTTCGTAACTGCACTCGCGGACTAATTGAGAGCCCCAACTCTCTTGAAAGGAAGAGGCCGGATCCAGAAAAATTACCACTCCGGAGGAACGATTCGCGAGGAACGCTTTTACGGCTAGACGAGGCCCTGGAAGGCTTGGATTGGACTTGCCTGCCAGACGTGAGGAACCTCAGTACTGGTGCTCGCCACGTGAGAGAACAAAGATCGGACCGAGTAGGAGGATGAGGCGTCGTTCGCTGGGGAGGAACTGATCACTCTTCCTTTTGTGAAGCGGACAGGCTTGTGTCCTTGACTGCGGTTGGTGGGCCAAAGGTCTCGTACCTCCGAGTGAGAACCAGTCGCGCGATGGGGACATCGTGTTTTTAGTGGGGGGAAGGTGTGCCATCTACCGATAAAAACGCATGCAAAAGACTTGTAATTGGTTTTGCATGAGCCTGAGAGAAGGCGCCTAGCAAGACACCCAGAAAAGAAAAAGACTTGTAATTGATTTTGCATAAGCTTGAGAAAAGGGGTGCCTGGCAGGATGCCTAGGACAGAAAAGACTTGAGCAAGTGGCATGGTATGAACTTGAGAAAAAGGTCTGGCAAGACAGCCAGGAAGGAAAGGGCTGACACGATTGACTCTGCATGAACTTGAGAAAAGGACTGGCAGGCGGGGGAATGGCTGTATGATTGGCTTGTATGGGCTTGAGAAGGTCTGACGAGGTGTCTAGAAAAGAAATGCACAAGGAATGAGGCGAGCACTGTACATGAAAGGACAATTAAGTAAGGCAAGAAAGGACAGAGGATAATATGTATGCAGAATTGACAGGACCTGAGAAAAGCCGGGAGGAATGACCCGGGAAAAATGCATGTGGATTTGGCTATGACTGAACTTTGGGGAAGGGAAAAATTGTACTGAGAATATGTTGATATCCTAAGAATAATGAATGAGACGAAACCAAAATGATTTCAGCTCAAAAATGTTTTCTCAATGAAATGGGAAGATAGATGTGAGATTATGAATGCAGCCTTCAAAACATTGTCGAGAGCGAGAAATAACGTACAATGAAAGACTAGCTGCAAGGCATGTCTGTTGTCAGACCCTCCCAAGGGGCGATGCTAGTCAACTTGATGAGAGAAAGAAACATCAAGCTGCTTAAGCTTCTTGACGTGTTGCTAGCTCGCGCCTGGAGGAAGCCATGGCGAATGATCCTTGAGACATTCGTCGCCAAAATCTTCCTTTTACCTCGGTCCCTTGGGAGGGTGATGGACTTGTCGTTCTCTCTTTGAGGGACGATACTGGAGGCTGTTGGGAAGCCCTTGAGTATTTGAGAGTTCCAGTGAGAAAGAGATACAGCTGTGAGACGGATGTTGATGCACAGAGAATGTTACGCGTCCGTTACAAAGACATTATTGAACTTGGGGACATTACGCAATTCAAGGGAACCTTTGCTAAGGAGTCTGTTGGTCTGGTTGTGGCAGGCTTCCCTTGCCAAGACCTCAGCGCCATGGGATGGTAACTAAAACTAGGCTTGGCTGACGTGAAAAAGGGGACCCTCCTCC